TGCCATCATCTGATGTTGGAAGCATTTTAGTTCCTTTCAGAACGACCAATAGATATGTACCATAGATTGAAGAGTACAGGTCATTTTCAAAATAATAACGGAATGCATCTTACGCGATGCGGTTCTCTTGTAAGTTTAACAAGTTTACTTTCAAAAGGTCTGGAAAACCGGTTTTTTTTTGCGAAAACATCCCAATTGCCCTAAGAAAACAAACATAAATCTAGTATTGAAATTGCATGTTTTGCAAACGTCAACTGTCAAGAACAACCTTGGATGAGGACTTCATCTTTTAAAGGTGATAAAAAAGACACTGCCAAGTGACGGGAACTTTTTATTTCTTTTATTTACACCGTTCAGATTTACATATAAACACAGTCCACAGACTTTATTATTGCACTAACAGTTTTTACAGCTGTACTATTTAACATAAATTCACATTTTCACTGCTGTATAACATTGTTAAATAGGTATTGATAGAACTCTTGAAATAAACGTGTCATATCCTTTTTTCAATTGGGAATATTTACTTCTCTAACTTGATATGACCATTTAGAGAATCACACTATTAAGCCGACTGTCGTGAAGTCTCCACATCTTTACATATAGCATAATGTTAAAGTAAAGTTTTATACAGGCTGCAGTCTTATTCTCTTCTGTGAATCATTCAAGCCTTTATAAAAAGGCAAATTGCAGATTCGTTCACTAGCTTTCATGAGTGCTGCTTGACACAGGATCCTCAATTCTCCTCTTATGTTCAGGAGAAAAACAAAAAACATTGAAAAAAAAAATCAAAAACGAAATAGCCGTGACCAGCACCAACTTTCAACCTCCGTGCAGTACCCACTCACCCCAAAACACTTTAACTAATATCTAATTTAATACCCAATTACAACTTCCATTTTTCATACTCATTTTTTCAATAAAGCGTGAAATTTACATCTTTTCCATAATACCGACCTGCCATCTATTGGCAATAACGAGAACATGGCGAGCACCAAAAAATAAGTTACTAAGTCACAGTAATAAGTCCACGTATATTACAATCTCAAGCACTTGATAATATTAGAATATAGGAATGTAACTGTCTATTTTTGCCCGGTGTCTCTGTGCGACACACTCCGCTATCCAGATGATGTTACGACATTCCTGCTCCTTCAGCTTCACGTAGCCGTAGAAGACGCCAAAGTGGAACTGGTTCATAAACCCGTTTATCATCAACTTCACCTGGAATTAGACAATAAGAGATTTTATAGATTATCAAACAGTTTAATATATGACAAATCATTGTTTTTATTCACCTTTAATTCTGTATTTTTTCCACCATGACACCTTCACAAATTTTCAGAATTAAAAAAAAAATCACCATATATTCTTTGCTGATTTAAACCAAATTTGTAGGGATACAAAAAGTAAACAGTGCTTCAGAAAGAGGTAAAATGGTCTTTTGTTCAGTCGTTCAGGCATTTGTGGATATATATTATTTTGGCAATAATTATGAAGGGTGAAAAAAAAAGCCCAAGTCACCTCATGCTCAAAGAATTTGTCTTCCAGAGTTTTCTCTCCTGGTCCTGTGCCCGACCCTTCAAACAATAACTTGTACTCCTGGAAATTAAACATTCAATGATGAGCATTAGGCAAATACAACAGAAATGTTAATAGGAGACTGCAGAGAAATCTCTTTTTTGTGAAGGCTACATAATTTTTTTCATCACATTATCAAACATATTTTTATTTCTAAATGGAAATTATAAATCAGCTTTAAGAAAGATTTGTTAAGTGTTCCATGAGAGAGAGAGAGAGAGGGAATGAGAGAGAGAGAGAAAGAGAGGACGTAAGTGGCTATAACAGAAAACAAAATCAGGTCATTCTAGCAAGAAACTTTTGTGAGATCACTAAAACTTTTGTATAACAAAACTGATTAAAATTTTATAAGCATCTCTTTTCATTTTCTTAGTTCCATTAACACGTGCCCTTCCCCCCACACCATTCCTACACATTATATACAGCCCAAACAGACATCTACTCACCCCATAATATTCTGACACAGCTCGGACCTGCTCGTAATCGTCAGCCCTAGAGAGCGCCGCCAGGCCATCAGGGTAGAGCTTGCCACAGCGCGGGTACAGCTTGGCGCGGTCCTCCTTGGACAACTCAGTGCCAAACGAGTTGATGGTGATGATGAAGGCTCGTCTGTCAGCCTCAAACTGAAGTGGAAGTGACAATAGAATATATTCCAGGAAATGAAAATGTGTTCAATTAAAGAGGATATGAATTCACTGAGCTTATTTTCAAATAATATGATACTGAGCGTTACAATGGTTTTTCTGTTTTCATCTAAAACTTAGTCATGTCCGAGTGTTGGTGTTAAAAAAATTAGCTGCATTCAAGGAATTTTTATCAGACTGACTATAAATTCAAACTTTCAGTCTCTTGGACCCAACAAACACATATCTCTACCACTTTTAAATTTTATCACAGGGATGAGACTGCCATCTAGTGAAAAAGTTGAAAAATATGGTGTAGGATCCAGGGGACTGCCTAGGCCAATGATATTTTTGGCTCCCAAAAAGTTTGAAAATCTGCCGATAGTTGGTAAAATCTCACAATGCCTGTGTACTGTCCCATGGCAACCATGGCAAAGTATTTTACACAGGCTGGTCAAAAATCTCCAGAAAAAGACCGCCCTTATAAACCACCGAGTAGCAAAAGGACACATAGACAGCTGTCTAGTAATATGGATACTTACAGCCAATGCCTCACACATGACCTCAGCAGTCGTCCCTCCCATCTCTTTACAGAACTTATGGAAGTCCTCCAGATAGGCTTTGTACAGTGTATTCCTGATGATCTCAATGTTCATCTCATCCAGATCCTGCTCAGAGATACAGTCTATGAAATAAGGAGCTGAAACAGGGGAATATAGTCACATTAAGGACAGTCTCAGTGGCTTTTGGCAGACTTCCCCCCCTTCCTTCTGCCTCAACCCCACTCTAATCTTCTACCTCTATCACAGAATAAATATTAAAAATAAATAAATGAATAAATAAGATTAATAACAAAAACAATAATAATATAATATGTAAATAACTGAAAATAAAAAAAAAACACATTAACAAAAAAAATTATAAAAACTGATGACATCCAGCACTCACTGACCTAAAGGTGTGTCAACCAGCACTGCATTATACAACTCAGCAGGCGTGGCTGCCACATGAATGGCTTCCATCTGCTCAAAGCTGCCCAGGGGGTGACACTTGGGAATCAGCTCCGAGATGGAGCGCTGGTGGAGAGTGCCCGTGATCAGCAGGATAATGTTGTCAATCATGTAGCTGTACCTGGGAAAGTGAAAGTGAAACTGGTGTGATGAGAGAGTCATTACAATCTACTGTTCAATGGCAGAGTATATTTTAAGGAATCTACAAGACTTTGAGGGGAATGAAAGGATTAACAAGTTTGGAAGGCTCCAAATCATTCTAAAATAGTTTTTAACATAAAGTATAAAGCCCCACACCCAAAAAAGTCATGTTTTCAGACACCTTTTTTAAGAAAGTGCACATTGATATTGTTTTTCTGGAGATTGTGATGACATAAACTAAACAAGAAGTGGCAAGCTCAAAAAGGGAAATGGGATGGTTCGTGAAAATGAACATATTTTACTCTCTACTGCCAAAAAGGGTGGATAACTGTAGTTGTCAGAATCAACTCCTATCTCTGTGTTTAAAACAGTGAGTTATCTGGTTATATAAATTATTAAGATGTAATCATGCATTTCTGATAGTGTGTGTATTATAAATAATCCACTTACGTGATATAGTCAAGGAATGTAGACAGGGGTTCTACAGCATGATTCCTCATGTGTTGAAACTCAACCACTAGTTTATCTTTAAGTTTGTCATCTATTACAGATACAGAGAGAGGACTGGGCTCATTGGCAAGAAAGTTTCCATAGTCTGTGCTCTGGAGGTGGAGTTTTAAATCTGGAAACAAAACGATTATTTTCATATAAACTTAATTATTATTATTATTATTTACTTGTACCCAAATTGACATAAATGCACATTTATCTATACACATTTACCAGAAGAGTTGATGTCTTCAACTCTTGAGAATTAAGTCTTTGGTGGTTTTGTTATATCAAAATGGTTTAATCAACCTGTTAACAGCTTGCCAAAAGAAAGTCAGGCAATTTTAGATTTAACTAAAATCACTGACAGGCTACAGATAATAATAAATACATCATGTCTTGCCGATGAAGGGTTGTTACAGCAGGTTTCACCGACTCCTTTCAAATGCAACATGAAGTTGTCACATCATGTGCTCTCATAGCTGAAGCCCAGGGAACCAATGTTAACAGAATATCAACACGTCAAATCTACTGTCAGTATTTGGCATTCACAATGTCTTTTTGATAATAAATGCAAGTAAAAAAGTAGGTTTCGAATCGTCACATCGTAATCTGATCAATGGCAGTCAGTTTGACAGTCATTTGTCTGAGAGGGTTGTATGATTCTGTTATCATGTGAAGTAGTGCACAGTACGTACACACACCAATACTCTCAGTAACTGTCACAGTAACGAGAACTGTCACTGTTTAAGTGTCATTGAGTCTGAGTCCACCGCGACATCGACTCACCAAAACACTTCTCTACTAACCATCTAAAGTATCACACTGTACAAGATTCAGGTAGTCTGTTTGCGTTAGGATCCCTCCCTTGAAGCCTCGCACCAGCCCCTCCAGGTAGCCATTGTCTATGTTGAAATCCAAGGCGCTCATTTTCAGCAAAAAAATACTCTGTCCTACCGCTACCACTATTGATTACCCTAGTACAAAATGGTGGTTTGCACGTGATCACATGATCATGACCCTTTTCAAAATACCAGAGGGCGCTGGTGAGCAAATTTCTAACTATTGATTGGATACATGAAAACAAATTTAAATACGACTTCCATATATGGAAAATTAGGTCATATTGTCATATATAAAGAGAAATTGACCTCTTTTCTGCCTCTTTCAAATCAGACTCCACGTGTGTTGTGTCTCGAAGACAGAATTATGGCACCAAACAAGCCACCTTTTAAAGTTGGTATGTATCTAAGAAGCATGGGTGACGTCTAAAGTATTGGCTGGCAAGGTTATTGTAATTGCAGTTGATTTGAAAGGGTGTCTCAAGTGGAAATGTATGAATTACACATTATATGAACATGTAGAAAACACCGGTAGTTTACGTAATACTGTAAAAATAGTAAACCTTTACTCTAAACCCTATCAGCACTGCAAAGCAGTGATCTGTGTCAGATTTGGTCAACCAACATCCTTGCCTTTCTCTTGGAGGGACCTGTCTCGTCATAAAAAGTGTCCTTCATTAATTTCAAGGTAAAGAAAGAAAAGTGAACCATGGTCTAGAATTTGTATAAATTTATATCTCCTCCACAACCAATAAATTATTTATACTGATATTATGATGGATGATTCATGTCAGCTTTTTACACATTAACACACACACACAATACACACTTTTAAAGATTGATCTCAAACCGAGCCACCCCCCAGGGTCGATCTGTAGTCAGCGGCCAAACAAAATGTGTACATCCAGAGATGACAGGTGTGAACTGCTTTGAACCAGTTCTGTCCAATCTGACAGTGACCAGAGGACCTGGTTGACCATGGGGCAGGTGTCACTGGACTTAGCTGAGATTTCTTTGTTTTGATAAGTGATTATGTAAACATGGCGAAGATTTGTTATAGTGGTTTAAGGGCAATTAGTCTGTATGGCCCTGTTGACCTTTTAACCCCTTAGTTGACTTACCTGGAGAAATGGCATGCAGAACCGAGATCAAGTCTTGATTCAGAATGGATTTTTTTCTGTCAGTGATGCTGGTTATTTTGAACCTTTCTTGCTTACCAGCCTGCAATGATGAGTGTTCTTGACAATCTTCATCGTGTCAAGTTACCTCTGGCGAAAATAGTTTGACCTAGTTTATATAAGCCAATCGAATCCATGTTTGAAAATTTTTCACCAAAGTTTGGTGAAAACGCTGATTGGTTGACCATCAATCAACAATCCTCGGCTGATTCCGCAAGCTCTATACTAACAACAAAGTTATTGTCGAGTGCGGAGACATCCGAGTAGTTCCGAGTGCATAACTGAACACAAAGAAAGCATGGCGTCTCCTACGAGTGACTACGTAAAATAATGTGTTAAGTTATCTCTTGATTCTTTGCAAAATATGAGTATATCGGAATTGAAACCAGAGCAGTTTGAGGCCCTGCATCATTATCTACTGAGGGATGATGTATTTTGCGTGCTGCCCACAGGTTACGGCAAGTCCCTGATATTCAGCCTTATCTTTGATTGGTCCGGATTTGAACAAAGCGCGCTTTGACTCGTTCGCGTTCATTGGCTAGATCGTTCAATGAGTCATTGAGTGCGGGCTTTAAATTTGATTGGCGGGCGGCGGAGGCTATCGAATGTGGTCAGAGGTAACTTGACACGATGAAGATAGGCTATAGTGAAGAGGTTAGTGGCAAGTTATCTCTGAAGCTCAGGGTACCTGCATGTGATTTATTGTAGAATTTTTGACTGAGTTGTTAGTGCAACCAGGTATTTATTAGCTTTAGAACTGGACAGCCAAGCACTGCTTTGCTTTCAAACTGAGCTTTTATATGACATGTCCAAACAAGGCTTAGATAGTCTCCCTCTGATAAGAGAAGGACACTGGAGGCAAGGAGGACCTGGATAGTTCCAGATCTCTGTAAGAAGTAGGACAATCAGAGAACAGTTGCATAATGTTCCCAGATAGCATTGCACCAATGATGTGTCAGGATTGAGTGTTCAAACATCAGAAGAATCTGATCTAAATAGGATAATTCATCAGGTTGAGGTTGAATCAAAAAATTAAACAACATCTTTTTGTATGGTAACATTCTCAGATTTGTTCCAAGAATATGAAGAACGCAACATTGCAATGGGGCCTGTAGCTTGTGATTTTATGGTGTGTGTGTGTGTGTGGGGGGGGTTACTCCCTTTGTTATAATGCATAGAATTGGCTTCTGATTTAAAACAGGCCTCTTTTGCAATAAAAAGTCCAGTTTAATGGCTAGAATCCTCGCATCTCCCCCCTCCCCTCTCCCTTTGCATTAAGGTGTTACCACCCCTCCCCCTTTCTGGACTAAATTGCAAAATTATCATTTCCAATCAATAGAAATGCTATCATATGGCTGGCAAGAAAATGGAATAAATATGCTCTGCAGCATAGCATTAAATATTGAAGTGAAAAATTTTTAATGAACAGAATGTTGTCGTCTGATCCTAATCCCTCCCCCCCCCCACCAGCCCTACCCCACCAGCCCTACCCCACCACAACCTCTGTAGTGTCTAGACATGGAAGTGTCATGGTTCTATCAAGTAGAAGTCTGGAGTTATCTCCACAGCTTGTTACTTTCAATGAATGGCTGGTCTGTGAGTCAAGGTGACATTGTGGGTGAGGATAGGGGTGTCAACGTTAAAGTACATTTACCTGAAGTCTAGTATGCACTTCCGTAGGGGATCACGCCTATTGTCGACATTTGATAATTTAAAGGGATAACAACTGTTCGTATGATATCCATATTTCACAATAAATACATTGTAAACAACTCATAGAAATGGGAAAATTGTTCTTTACCCCAGGAAAATCCATTTTTTGGCCAAAATGAACAGTTCGTTATCCCTTTAATTTGCCCATATTACAGACGCCAAATGAGATTGCTTGTTATATTTTATTTAATAAGTTACAACATGTAAGAGGCTATTTGTAGATGACGTGAGTTCATGAAGCCCTCAAATAGTGCACTGAACAGTTTCTGCACATGTTGAAGAAGATTTGGAAGTGTGTGTCTCTGTATCACTATCAGTGTGTCAACATTGATGTGACCATGATGTGAACTTTGCCACTGCCGCCGCAAGTCACTTAGTAGATAAAGTGGATCACCTTGTACGGAAAAACTGATGGAAAATTTTTGCCATAATTTAGGTAGTTTGAAATATTGGGAAGGACCTTGAAAAAGCTTTTAACACGTGGAAAAGGGAAAAGAAAATTGAACTCGTTCTGGGTCTTAATAAATAAGTTTGAGAAAGATGGAGTGTTTAATATGAAAACAGCTGATAGGAAATGTATTTTAAAAAGATTTTTAGCACTTAACAGGTGTGAAGCTATCATTTATCTTTCTTAATGTCTGCGCTAATACCTATAATGTTAATTACATTATGTAATGTATGCTTACCTAAGTAAGCAAAAAAGCATCCAGACAAACTCACCAACATCATCATATATTTTACAGTCTCTTCTGTATTTTAGATACCTGACCTCATTGAGATTAATTATCGAATATTCTCATCGAGGCTTTTTGGAGAGGGTTTCTGTGCTTATGGGTTGATAATGCACTTTTGCACAAAAAGACTCCCCCTACCCCCTTTTGAAATTACTTGCTATAGGCCTTTGAATGCTGGGTCAGGCCCTTCATAGTGATAGGTATTGAGTTTTGTCCAAATGGTTAGGCCTTACAGAAATGTGTGTGGCTTTAGCAGAAATTCATGTTTGGTAAAAGTGACACTGGTTCTACGTGAAACCCGAATTTATTTCCAGGACACAAAAAAAGTAATTTATTTTTAGGAAACACAAAAAGTAGAAAGTGTTCCTGTGAAATTGTATACTGGTAGTTAGATTTGATGCACAGATGTAAGAGATAAAAGATAAAAACAAATTACCTTTACGTCACATACTATCCAGTCTTTTTGATCTTTGTTTTAGAAGTTGCAAACTGTGACTATTTTGACTGTGATACAAGTTTTTATCTGCTCTGATCATCTTTAAATAGTATTGGGACATTTTAGAAAAAATCTTCATTAATTAAGATATAATAAATTATCTAAATTGTTATAACTTATTCATTCAAATGATATGTTTCTCAGTTTAAAAATGCATCTATGTGTAATAATTGTGCATTTTAAGATCAGGATTAAGTTGAAAGGCATAATGGCTTAGGTTTCATTGGTCACCTGACCTCTTATTGTCCAATCAAAATACCTCACATCCTTCCACAATGCTAGGTGTCGTGATTAATGATTATAAATTTTGATGTAATTTCTCATAGAAGTGGTTTAAGCAAAATTTCTTTCATATATGAAATATGAAGTTATAAGTTTTTAGCTTTTGTAGTAACTGAGAAAACTTACAGGTACCAAAATCATCTGGGAAGGATAAATTGATATTAATTAATCCATTATTTTCTAATCAAACATATCTGAATCTAATGCACTTTACTAAATGTAAGAAATATGTTATATTGCATTTAGCCATTATTATTTAAAATGATCATTATTATGAAAAATATATGAAAAATAAAAATGTCCTTCCCAAACACTATTTTATAAGTTTTCCCAATAAAAGTGTCAATAAAATCATAATTAATAATCAAACCTAAGATTTCTTTTTGATTCTGGTGTCCAGTGGTGTCTGGTTTCAGAAATTATAAATTTTTGTAAGTAGCATGGAATGGTCCAAACACAAATTACCTTGTTACATCAATTTATATTTATAATGTACCATTGTAAGATTACTCTTTTTCTATGGTCTTTATGTCATATAAATTGTAGAAGTTGAACATGTCATTGCTTTTATTCTATATAATTTCTTGTAAAAAAACTCCTTATCATTGTCTGAAAAAAATACAAAGGTGATTAAGGTATGAAATACTGAAATGTTGGAGTTCAAATAACTCTCAATTCTAGTTTTTTCTTGGAAAAACTGTTATTACCAACATCACATTGAGGTTGAGTGAAAACTTCAAACTGATGACATTGAAAAACTAAAATTTGGTTTTGCTTGATTTTATCCTAGCTGACATCAACCTCCATGAGTGGGGACGCAAGTGTATCGAAATTGCCGAGAATGAGATGCCAGGGCTGATGGACATGCGTCGTAGGTACGGCCCCTCCAAGCCCCTCAAGGGAGCACGTATCGCGGGCTGCCTCCACATGACAGTGCAGACAGCGGTGCTTATCGAGACCCTGACAGAGCTGGGAGCAGAGGTGAGGGTCATGCTGTGGTCGCATTCACAACCTGATCAATGTAGACATATACTATTTACCAGGATATCATGTGCCAAACTTGAGAGAGTGTGTGTGTGTTATATGCCTTGGTCCTAACATGTCTAATAAGTGAAGATGAAATTCTTTAGGATTTGTTTTAAGATGTGGATATTTGGGCAATTTTATTTCTGCCCCCTATGGCCCCCTCATATACAGCTATTTGGCACCTGCAATTTAAGTATTTGTTTTAAAGGTCCACTCTCATCTCCAAGTACATATTAAAAAATTTTAATATTTTGTGTACCTTTACATTAACTGTATATTACATGATGTTGGTTACCAGGTCCAATGGTCCAGCTGTAACATATTCTCCACACAAGACCACGCGGCCGCCGCCATTGCTAAGACTGGGGTGCCTGTCTACGCATGGAAGGGAGAGACAGACGAGGAATACATCTGGTGTATTGAACAGGTAAGACATGCACGCCTGCACGCACGCGCACACACACACACATTTCTGCTGTTACCTGAGGAAAAGAAGTCAACTGTTAAACTGACAACTTAATTTCCTTATCTTCAATTAAAGGGATAATAACTCTTCATATGAGATCTATATTTCACAATAAAAATATTGTGAATAACTCATAGAAATATAATATATCCTGTTTTACCACAAAAATGGCAGTTATAGCTATTATTCTGATATCTGAGCTTGTCTTTAGACCACGTGACCTCCACTGATGGCTATACTCTGTTAAAATCTCTTAAGAGATTTTAACAAAAAACCAAACTTTTTAGAAAAAAACCAGGGACTAACTTTGAATGTAAAAATGGATGCATTAACCATTGGTAAGTATGGGAAAATTATTGTTTACTCCAGGAAAATTCATTTTTTGGCCCAAACGAAGAGTTATTATCCCTTTAAGATGATGTCAAGTCTGTTGAACCAGGAAAATGTAGGTTCAGTATTATTCTTAGACATGTGGAATGATACTATTAATGGAGACTATACCTTTTCTTTTCGTCTTGTTGGTTGATCTCATTATGAACAATCAATTAATTATAAAAGCAGTCCATACATACCACCCTGAGCTTCAGAGATAACTTGACACTAACCTCTTCACTATAGCCTATCTTCATCGTGTCAAGTTACCTCTGACCACATTCGATTGCCTCCGCCGCCCGCCAATCAAATTTAAAGCCCGCACTCAATGACTCATTGAACGATCTAGCCAATGAACGCGAACGAGTCAAAGCGCGCTTTGTTCAAATCCGGACCAATCAAAGATAAGGCTGAATATCAGGGACTTGCCGTAACCTGTGGGCAGCACGCAAAATACATCATCCCTCAGTAGATAATTATGCAGGGCATCAAACTGCTCTGGTTTCAATTCCGATATACTCCATGCTTTCTTTGTGTACGGTTATGCACTCGGAACTACTCGGATGTCTCCGCACTCGACAATAACTATGTTGTTAGTATGGAGCTTGCGGAATCAGCCGAGGATTGCCGATTGACGGTCAACCAATCAGCGTTTTCACCAAACTTTGGTGAAAAATTTTGAAACATGGATTCGATTGGCTTATATAAACTAGGTCAAACTATTTTCGTCAGAGGTAACTTGACACGATGAAGATAGGCTATAGTGAAGAGGTTAGTGTCAAGTTATCTCTGAAGCTCAGGGTGATACATACATGCACATGCACCCTGACTTGTCGTAAACACGAAACATGAATTCCACTCTGACAGAAAATGTAAAATTACTGTATGATGTATTGTGCGTATTAGTATAACGGACTGATTTTCATGGTTATTTCCAGACGCTGGTGTTTGCTGATGGGAAACCACTCAATATGATCCTTGATGACGGCGGGGATCTCACCAACCTGGTCCACCAGAAGTTCCCACAGTATCTGACAGGTCAGTTAATACCTACTTTTACATCACTTTTTTCTCCGAATGGTTTAAATTTGACTAACACAAGTGAGATCAACCATTTTTGGTTTAGCCAACTTAAGTCAATTTTAGCATTTGGCTAAATTGGTGAGTGTTAGCGCTACCCAAGCCATGTCAGGTAATACCATCATATTCATTATTAAACAGAATATATATCAAGCAGTATGTAAGACCCCCCAACCTATTTCTGTCTAAGCTGCATGTGCTATTAGCTGCACCTTGTAAATGCATTTAGCAATATATTATAATTACTATATAAAATTAATACAGCTGATTCTTTTCTAATACAGGGACAGTATTTATAACACCAAAACCCTCCATGTGTGTAGTTTATCTAATATTTTGACAATCTCAGTGAAGTTTCTCTTTCTCAATATCTGCAGAAATCAAGGGGCTGTCAGAAGAAACGACCACAGGGGTCCACAACCTGTACAAGATGAAGGCAGGTGGACAACTCAAGGTGCCCGCCATGAACGTCAATGACTCTGTCACCAAGGTAACGGTCTTGCCTTAATGCCAGCTTGTGACACATATTTGAAAATAATTTACTTTCTAGTATTTAAGCTGAAGAAGGCACAGAATGGGCTGAGTAGTGCACCATTTCAGCGCACTTTGTGTCTTTTGTTCTCTCCATTACAGGCTTCTTGTAGCATAATGAATTTAGTCAGGTGATAAACATGTCCTAATGTTGTTTAGGAAATTGTGAAATCTTTTATTGTTTTTCACAAGTTTATCACTGGCTAGAACTTTTTGTATAGTCTAAAATGTTCAAGATTTAATCCTGGAACAGTGATTGTTTCATTTGTCTTAGCAGTGCACAGTTCCTGTAGTATTTTTCTCGTCTTTTATTTCCTAGAGCAAGTTTGACAACCTGTACGGATGTCGTGAGTCTCTGGTGGACGGAATTAAGCGCGCCACGGACGTGATGTTGGCAGGAAAGGTGGCGCTAGTGGCAGGGTACGGAGATGTCGGCAAGGGGTGTGCTCAGGCCCTCAGAGCCTTCGGTGCACGCGTCCTCATTGCCGAGATTGACCCTATCTGTGCTCTGCAGGCGGCCATGGAGGGTGAGAATGTCTTCTTGTTCAAAGTTGTTTTGATTCTGAGTTTCATTCTGAGTTCTGAGTGCTCACAAGAAAATACTTTACTTGCCTATCTTTGTTTATTTTGTTAAGTAACATACATTATTTAATTCTACTGTGAAAAATGTGATTTACTCTGCGTTTCATCCAAATTAAAGATTGGATGAAAGTTTGGATCTGGCAAATTGATGCAGTGTGATAAAATATATTTCACTTTGATTTTAAAAGATTCAACAATGGCCCAATCAGAATATATATATATATTTAAAATCTACATTCAGTTTGCTAATGGAAACTTTTTCAGAATTAACTGATGTAATATAAACTGTGATGTAATTATTTATGTTCTCAGAATTGTGAAGTCATCAAATACATCTTCTTAGGGCATTTTTTTCTATCAGTCACCAGCATTGTTGTCTATGAAAGGATTTGGACAAATCATTTTAATTGGAATAAAATATGTAAAAATGAATGACCGTCTTCATTTCTTTTAACTTCCAGGATACGAGGTGACCACAGTGGACGAAGCTGTGAAAGAGGCCAGGATATTCGTGACTGCCACAGGTTGCCATGGCATTTTGGAACCGAAGCATTTTGAGCTCATGTTGGAGGATTCCATTGTCTGCAACATTGGTCACTTTGACTGCGAGATTGATGTCAAATTTCTCAACGAGAATTGCAAGTCCAAAGAAAATGTGGCTCCACAGGTAGGTAATGGGCGTCAGTGTATGTGGACAGGTTCAAAGTTGGACCAATCCAGGTCAACGAGGATAAGATTTTTCCGACTATGACAGATTTCTGACTTCTTGGGAGCCAAAAATATCATTGACCAAGAGCGGACCCCTGGACCCCACACCATATTTTCTGTCTTTTTCACCGATTTAAAATGACTGTCTCATCCCTCAGTCTGTGATGTAGGTACTGATACAGACTGCTCTCTGTTAGCTCAGAGAGATGATAAGATAAGAAAGATCAAGATCAGTCAAAGTTTTTTTCCAAGAATAAGGACCTTTGTGCTCCTTTTACTCATAGGGCTGAAAAGCATTCTTAAGAGGCACTTAAATGTCATACAATGAGTTTGATTTATGAATTCCCCCTTTAATTACTGCTAAGTTAAGCAGTCATCTACAGTACATGTACTTTCATCTACAGGTGGACAGATACACACTGAAGAATGGTCGCCATATCATTCTGTTAGCCGAGGGTCGTCTCGTGAACCTCGGCTGCGCTCACGGTCACCCAAGTTTTGTTATGAGCAACTCATTCACCAACCAAGTTCTGGCTCAGATCGAGCTCTGGACCAAACCAGGCCAGTACTCCGTGGACGTACACATGCTACCAAAGAAGGTAAAGACCCCATTCCAATACCTTGACCAATCTAGCGGGATTGACCCATCTCCGGTCTAGCAGGAATGACCCATCTCCGAGGGGCTTCTCGCAAAATTACATTCATCTTAAGTGGGTCTGATGTCTGGCATGCCTACTAAAGCTGCTAGGGGGTAATTAATATCGTTTAGCAGCTTCAGTACATGTGCCAGACATCTAAGCCGCTTAAGCTGAAAGCAGTTTAGTGAGAAACCTCTTGGAGACTCATCTTTCATACTCTAAACTAGATAAACATTTTGTTTTTCAACACAATGATAAAAATAATTATTCCGAAATTTTAATTCTTGTAAGATTTAATAAAATAATCGTGCATTGAAATCCTTTAAATCATCTTTGAGGTGTGTTTGCTAGTGAAATGGCATGATGTGGCCCTTTAATCACTGGGCAATTCAGAAAATATAAAATGCATTTAGCAAGGAATTGCGTTATTCACTTATGCTTCCTTCTTCTTTCAAACTTATTTAGCTGGATGAAGAAGTTGCAGCAGCCCACTTGAGCCACTTGGGTGTGAAACTGACCAAACTGTCCGAGGGCCAGTCTAAGTATCTGGGTGTCCCACAAGGTGGACCCTTCAAGCCAGAGCACTATAGGTACTAGTTGGTGGATGACGTATCCATGGCAACCAGCGTTAAGGAGGTCGTCGGTGGCTGCTGTTCACTGTGTTTGGGCAGCTTCCACTTCAGACAATTTAAGCATTTAAATAATGATTGAAATTAGTTTGGCACTTGAACATTCATGTGAGGAATTATGTGAACTGGCGTTGTCTTGCCACGTGAAGGCGGAACTCTCACCTTAGAAATTTTCTCAACAGAATTGTAATATTTTTTTCTCAAATTCTTATACGTATATTTAATCAGATGTGAAGGTCCAGATGTGATATTGTCAGCATTCTTGGTATCTGCTTGGTCGCATTGACTGAAAACAATTTACATTCTGTGTCGTAATTTCTTACTTGTTAATCTCGATGTTTTTCACTCCTTGGGTGTATGTACCTGGTTATGGCATTTCATTTATTGTTCTCTGTGAGAATTGCGCGTCACCGGTGAGATCAATAAATACGTATTACTGCTCCGTCTTGCATTTTCCAGTTTTGTAAATGTTGTTCACAATTCTGTGTAAAAATGAAAAAAAACACGTCGTTGTATCTGGGGTAAAATGTAAGATCTAGGAAGCAAAATGTTGTCCTCAACGGTAGCATTTTATGTAATAGGCGTTATTCAGACCTGGAAAATAAAGATTTAAAGTTTACTAGTATACTATTACCCGTGTTGCGTGATAGTTCTTAACTCAGAATTAACAAGGAAGATTTGACTAGGGAGGGGAACGATTGCTTCACAGCTGCGTTGATTTGGAACTTTTTGCACAGGTGTGACAGGAATGGCAGTCCGCTAGGAACCGCAGTCCGTTCCCCATTACTTTGTACAGGTGACATTCGTCCCATATGCTAACCCCAATACCCCAACTAACCCTAACCTGTACTAATCGTATGGGACCCCGGACTTCCGTTTTAGAACTGCCGTTTCTGTCACACGACTCACGGCCACTTGAACGAATTTCCCCACTCGTCCTCTTCAAAGTTGAGGCTTGTCAATATTTCATTGGCAAAGTTGAATTCATGCATCAGTGTTTACGAATATTAAATATTTATGAACATAAAGTAGTGCAATGCTTTCTTTTGTTTGATGTTTGTGACGGTGGACCAATTTCTTTCTCAATGCAAGCAAAACGGGTGATTTACATTTCCTCTGATACAGCCTGTGGGGGGTATTGAATAATTCACCAGCATTTTCGGTAATTTCATGTAACGCCTTTGTTTGTAGTCCGAAATTCCTTATAATGCTTTGTTTAAAATCTAAAGAGATAAAGTAGGCATATTAATCTGATTAAGTAGTTCAAGAATCTTTTGTCTTGGTTTAATATTAAAGAGGGAGGGTCCCCACAAATTGACAGAATGTACCTGAGCAAGTGACGAGTAAACATTAAATGATTTAAACTGTTTATTGCTGTCAGCGTTGGATTTCATCATAGCGATTTACACGTAAATATTTCGACCATGAATCTGGAAAGTGGTATTAATGCGTGGTCCAACATACACGTATACAACGGTGTCCGTATTTCGTACCCGCTTGTAATTGATATCCATTGCTAAATTTGCGCGGTTCTGGACGTGGAGTCCTCCATGAAATCCCCTTTGCATCACGTGCCCCCTCCCAGTGTTTTTAAACCAGAATGATGTATGCCTTAAAGCACTATACGGGGAGGCCATCAGGGAATTAGCCGGCGTTGCTTTTAAGTGAGTCGGCCATATTTAGTTCGCTGATCTTGTTCTGAATGCGATCTTATACATTCTAAGGATCAGATTTGACTTGTATGGAGAGGTGTCCTTTGCTTCATGTAGCCTCTCCCAGTGTTTGTAATCCAGTATGGCTCCACTGACTGAAATACTTCTCATTGCCGTACATTTCATCAATGTGGCGTGAAGATAAAAGTATATCTATGTGTCTCCAACTTCCTTTGTTTTTCAGTATACTTTACTGTCTGCTCTCTCTCCTTTTAATACCAAAACAGGAACTGGTGACAAGTTTAGTCTGTCAAGCACAACATGTATAGTAACACACACACACACACACACACACACACACACATATATATATATATATATATATATATATATATATATATATATATATCCTATATATGTGTGTGTGTGTGTGTGTGTGTGTGCACGTTTTCCTGGCATTAAATAATGTATAAGATGTAGGAATCATGGAGGAAGCCAAGCTGCTATGAATTATCCATATCATATAGTATCACCTTGGTATCCAGAGTAATAATAATATATATGATATATGGAAATTAAGAATAACGGGCGGAAAGGAGACGCTTGTTTTTCTTCTCGCCAACTTCGTGACACGCAAGGGAATACCCGGGGTGTCGAATACACCTAACTTATCTTAACAAAAAAAAAGCATGACTATGAACAGTAGCTATCGTTGCTGTCCCAGTTATGTCAGGATTTTTGCATTGATTGACCAAATCAAAAAAGTGTTAGAGGTCACCTCTCTATAATTTGCCGGGCTGGGGGATCGTCTGAACAGAAAACAACGCCTCCTCGACAAAAAAGGTTAGAGGATCTCTTTTCACTAACTTTGCTTTTATTTCAGTGATATCGGGATATTTGTGTTGATTGTCCAAGTCAAAAAGGTTAATAATTATAATAATTGTCTAGTGTAGTAAAAAGTGCATCTGTGATCCTGGTAGAGGAGTTAGGGAGTAAAGATGCGAAGTTATAGCGTCGTATTTTGCCGTTCATGATTAGACAGCAGGACTAAAACAAGAAGTGTCGCAGTGCTGGATTTTAATGTGTCACAGCACTGGATTTAAATTCATCCGTCTATCCTACAAAATAACTAAAACTTGACCGTCCCTGGGTGGGCTTGAACCACCAACCTTTCGGTTAACAGCCGAACGCGCTAACCGATTGCGCCACAGAGACCTGGATACCTCACCTGAAGGCATTATTTTTCACCTGGCGGCCCTCATGACGGCAGGTATATTGAGATTTTATCTCACCGTCGCTTAGGCCTTTATGTATAAGGCCTCTGTGCTGATGATAACGCATGATAAACTGTCCTGTGCAGGAATTTCTACGGGCCTGTTTAATGAATTACACTTTTATTTTTAGATTCTTTGGAGAATTTTTTCAAACATAAATATTTGGTTCGAACCCCAGTTGAACCACTATAAACACATTTTTCACAAAAAACCACAAAATTCATATAAGATAAGATAATATAAGAGTTTATTTAGCCAATTATAAAAATCAGAAATCATTTTCCATTGGAGCAATATACATAGTAAAATAATAAAATAATACAATAAATAAATAAATTAAGAATTTAGTTTTGAAATCAAATTAAAATGCGTCACTGCACTTGGATAAAAACTGTTTAAAAAGCGTTTACTGCCTTTAAAAGTTAAAAGTCTACTGTTGCTTGGTAAAAAAAGTAAAGAGAGAAGATGCAGGATGGAAAGAGTCTTTCATGGTGTTGACAATTCTTTTCTCCATCCTGTGCTTAAAAACATCACCCAGCTTGGGGAGATCCTGCCCGATAATCCTACTTGCAGTTTTTACAACGTTTGCTAATTTCTTCCTTTCCTCCCCAGCTGTTCCGCTATACCATATTATAATTCCGTACGCTAGAATGCTTTCAATAAAGGGAACCGGAGAAGATCAGCATTGGTCAGAATTGTGCCGGAAGTGACGTGCAGTGGTATTAGAAACGAAGCTGAGTGGTCATTTTAACATAGAGGTGAACGGCAGTGAAGACGGGTTGTCGGAGGAAAAAGAAGTTTTCTAAACAACATGGTAAGATAACACTTTTTCTTTACGCATTTTGGGCAGAGAAAACTTGTAAAAATAATAAATGCATGATATGAAAACGTGACACGGAACTTGAAGGTGCAAAATCGTGCTTAATTGGCGGTCAACTTGTTTAGAAATAAATGCTGCGTCGATCGCCAGCGCGACAAAAAGCGTAAAGGGGAAATAATTCCCGGGAGTCTATAAATCGTTGTCATGTGGACATTTGGCATTAATATAATCCGATATGTCCATATCTAAGTATTTTTTGGTGTTTTATGGTATGGGCTGCAATTACAACGATGTTTTTGAGGTCTTGAAGGACCTTGTGAAAACCAGGAAGTAGTTCGTAACTAACAAGTGGAATGTACCGATCTCCGACTGCTGTGCACAGCTGTATCTTTTTTTCAATATATCGACGCAGCATTTATTTGTGTTAAAAGCTGAACTGTAGTCAATAAATAAAATCCTTGCATAAGAGTTTTTGTTATGTAAGTGTTGTAGTACAGTGTGTAGGCACAAATTAACTGCATCTTCAACATTTCTGTTAGATCGATAAGCGAATTGCAGTGGGTCCAAGGTTTTCGGCACAATTTCTTTAATAAAATTTAAAACTAATTTTTCTAAAATTTTCATGGGCACCGGAGTCATAGCCACGGGTCTAAGATCGTTTAAGCTGGTAACTCGGTTGCATTTTGGTACCGGGATGATAGACGCCGTCTTCCAGAGCAATGGTACTTTGCGGATTTGTAGAGACCAGTTGTAGATGACAGTAAAGACGTACGCAAGTTGGTCAGCACGAGGTGAAATTCCATCTGGCCCAGACGCGTTACGAACATTGAGGCGCATAAATTGCCGTTTTACTTGCCAGGGGTGAATGGTGAGCGGAACTGCTTCAGTATTGTCAGCTAATAGGTCAGCGGAGGTAAAACCGTTGTAGAAGAACTATTGTCTTTATGAAAACGTGCATAAAAGTCATTCAGTTTGTCCGGTAGTGACGCGTCTCCTTTGTCAGCAGAGTGTTTTGAGCCCTTGTAGTTAGTAATTAAGGAGATATTTGACCACAGTTCCCTAGAGTTCTTAATGTTAAAGCTTTCCTCTATTTTGCTTTTCATGCATTTCTTAGCTTCTTTTATCGCCTTCTTCAGTTGGAGTTTAGCTCTGCGATAGGTCTCTGGGTCGTTCTGTTTTTCGCAGAATGCCTGGTCTTTCTCCTTTATTAGTTGGCGTACGTTTTTATTCATCCATCTCTTGTCATTAGGATACCGGGTCACTGTCTTAGTTGGTATACAAATCTCCTCGCAGAAACGTATGTACTCCGTCAAAGTCAAGGTGTAATCCTCTATGTCGTTGTCACATTTCAACACAGACCAATCCGTACACTCAAAACAGCCCTGCAATCTATCTATAGCTGATTGTGAGTAGATGCTAACGTTATGAGATTCGGGTGACAGTGTTAAGTTAATAGGGCCAATGATTAATGTGTGCAGCATTAACGTATTATAACGTATTATATCTTCTCTGTCACAATCCACATTCCACGTGTTTGTAATCAAGTATGGGTCCACTGACTGAATTCATTCTCATTGTCGTACATTTCACCAATGTGGCGTGAAGATAAAAGTATATATCCATGTGTGTCCAACTACCTTTGTTTTTCAGTATACTTTACTGTCTACTCTCTTTTCTTTTAATACCAAAACAGGAACTGGTGACAAGTTTAGTCTGTCAAGCACAACATGTATAGTAATATATACATAGGTGAACGTTTTCATGCCATTAAATAATGTATAAGATGTAGGAATCATGGAGGAAGCCAAGCTGCTGTGAATTATCCATATCATATAGTATCACCTTGGTATCCAGAGTAATAATAATATATATGATATATGGAAATTA